ACCATGATTAAATGCACTGAGAACATTTTGGATATTAGATATTTCTATGCTTTGTTACTGTTATCACTTTTTTGTGCTTAAAAACCAATAAACAAATCTGGAAGAAAAGGACATTTGCATATTTTAATGAGCACAATGCACGTATTGCAAAATGTATGGGTAGCATGACACACTAAACATACACCACCAGTCAAATGTGTGTCAGTACGCAGTATATACTGTGCATTTTGCAGTATGCTGGTGTTATTCAGACCTGTGGGCTTGTGTTTGGGACTGTCTGAGTCCTCGATAGCCAGTTTGAGCTGCTGGATGAAGTCTGGACGGTAGAGGCTACGCTCCTGCCAGATATTCAGCAACCTCTCCATGTGCTTCTTTCCACCGTCATCTCCATCTCTGCCAGAGAAACACACACAACACGCATGAGAAAGGACACAATCCTGCCGATGGACGCATGAAGCACATGTGAAGGGGAGTTTACCTGGCCACGTGTGAACAGGCATCCACCAGGACGCCTTCGAAGTCTTTGGTGAACTCAGGACCCTTTTTCTTACTGTTCTGAATCACGTCATTAGCCAGATACAGGAACGTCAACTTCCTGTTTCTTTTAGCTGAACGACAAACACATTTTATTCGATTTAATCATCATTAACTTTAAAACAAAGGCTCAGTTTAAATGTTTGAGCATTTCAGTCATTTTTTAAATCAAAGCCTAACCTTCACAAACAAGATGAAAACTTGTGAAAACTAAACTCAGGGTGTATTCACACTTGTTATTAGTTTCGCTTAGTTTGTTTGGCCTGATCCAAAAAAAAAAAAAACATTTAGTCCTGGTCCTCTTAGCGTTCACATTTGCATTTTAACACCGAAGCTAAAGGCATGATGGTATTTTGACCAGCTGAGAACTTGTGAAGAGCTTATAAAACGTGTAAAGGAGTCAAAACAGCTTCAGGAATCCCTCCGTCACACACACAAACACAGATCTGCTGTGAGGAGACGTGGTTCTGATGCCTGTAGTGAACTGTGAATGCCAACATCGCCACTATGATGAGAAAAAACAGGCAAACTTGAGCATTCTGTCCTTTTTAGGGTCGCATCTTGTGACATCACTTCCTGTTTTTGGTTCGTTTACATGTCTTTGGTCTGTGTTGCGTTCATATTTCTTTTGAACCGCATCATTCTTTGTTTGGAAGCGAACTGAGGCGGTGTTCACACTTGGCATGTTTGATTCGATTAAAACAAACTCTGGTGCGATTGCTCTGTTAGTGCGGTTCATTTGAATAAGTGTGAACGCTGACATCTGAACCCTGGTGTGCACCAAACAGGCAAGATGGGTCTCGGTCCGCTTCCAAACCAACTCTGGTGCGATTTCGAATGATATATGAACACAACAGAATGATATATGAACACAACAGACCAAAGACATGTAAACGAACCAAAAACAGGAAGATGCGACCCTACAAAGGAGGGCAGAATGCTCAAGCATGCCTGTTTTCTCTCATCAGTCGTGATGTTGTCCATCACAGTTCGGTACAGGCATCAGAACCGCGTCTCCTCACAGCTGATCTGTGTTTGTGTGTGCCGCTATTTTGACTCCTTTACACATTTTATAAGCTCTTCATGAGTTCTCAGCTGGTCAAAATACCATCATATGTAGCTACGTACTAGCCTGGCTAACGTCAGTCTCATTGACATTGAGACGTGGTCTGGGAACCACATGTTCATTTTCTCGTATTTGAGGCGTGGTTTACGAGCGCCCAGAGCCGTTTATTGGGTGCTACGAGTGTCTATCAAATGCACCTGTACGTAGCTCTTAGCCAATCGTTTCAGTTATACCAGATGACATATGTAGAGCGACAGAAATTAGACGAGGAAAAAGACGATGGGTCAGAGATTTATTTGCGTTCTAAACTACTTAGAACATTATCTAAGGCTGCATCGAAAGGTAACTTCGCGTCTGCTGCCATGTTTGATCCATCGGTATAAACAAACTGCTTCGGTGTGTCGCATAGACGTCGTCATCGTCTTGCTACTCCCTCCCCGTTCTGTGATTGGTTCCCTTGCTGAGGCGAAAATTTGGTCCATGGTATCCAGACTGCCTAGCAGCGTGAATAAAATCGCTCTGCGCAGAAGCAGTATGGGGAAACCCAGGCTAGCTACGTACATACAATGAACGCATTTATCCCAGAACACAGTATTGTTTTGGATGTTTGGCTAGTTCCGTCACAAAATATATGTAATAAAAGGCAATCAATCAGGTTGTGAACATCCCTGTGCCTTTACGTTCAGTATCTTTAAGTTCTGTGTTTTTAGGTTCGGTGTTAAAAATGTTAATGTGAACGCTAATCGGATCAGGACAATTGTTTGACAATTGCCATCGTTTGGTGGCACCAGGGTTCAGGTGGCAGCGTTCACACTTACTCTAAAGAATCACAATAACAGCGTAATCGCACCACACATGCCAAGTGTGAACACAGTAGGGGTGTAACGATACACGTATTCGTATTGAACCGTTCGGTACGAGGCTTTCGGTTCGGTTTTCGGTACGCATTTTTAAACCGAACGGTTCGTTGGACCATTTTTCCTGCCGACCAACAGTTCATTATTTCAAATGCAGGCGCGTCGCTCATAATGTAAGAGACGCTGGCGTGACCACAACATCGCCCAACATCAAATGGCAAATGTAATGTAAGCGGAACGAAACCACTCGTTATTGTGTGTTTGACGGGCCGTTTATCAGTTTGGACCAATGCAGCGCGAGCCGATCTTCATCATCAGCACTGTCACTACACAGCCAAATCCAGTAAAGAAAGCATTTGAATTCGCCACTGAAGTAATAACATCGCTGCGAGATCTAGTGAGAAACATTCACATTTCTCCGTTATTAACGGATCAAACAGCGCTGACGTGGAAACCAGGAGAAACATTGTGCCATGAATGAACTATCCAGTGTCCACAGATCAGCAACATTCACCATGGGTTTACTGGAGTAACACTACTGACTGTAACCATGGGAGTTTGGCAGGAATAGTAGGCTATAATGCTTTCAAGTAACATTACGTCGGTTTTATTTTGACATTATGAATACAATTACTGCCCTCAAATGTTAATCTGAACTAAAATAAACCTCTGTTTATAACTACTGCAATATTACATTTCATTTTGTCCAAGGAGCTGTTTTGTTTTATAAGCTCCTAAGAAAAGTCAAGTATAGCTCCATCATTGCTCAAAGTAATAAAATATCATACTTTATGATGTTAGTTTTAATAAAAATATAATTAAAAAAGTTAAATCAAGGAAATTTCTCTGGCATTTCTTTCTTTTTGCTGTATCGAAAACGTACCGAACTGTGACACAAGTGTATCGTATCGAACCGAACCGTGAATTTCGTGAAGAACACAGCCTTACACTCCTGTTTGTTGCCTTTAACTACCTCTGTGAACCTGAAACTGCAGCTGACAGCAGTGCAACGGTCTCGTACCTTTCTTCAGCTCTCTGTGCCACACACGCACGATGAGCGATGAATGTTTGCGGTGATGAATGATCCACAGAGACAGAGTCTGAACGCTCTGCTGCGAGTTGCTCAGTTCAGACAGCTTCTTCTCCAGCGCGGACTCGGAGAACGACGACATGCTGATCGCTCTCTCTCCAAACAACCCTAGGAAGACACATCCGGTTAGAAACAGTGCTGAAGCTGCTCATGCCAGAGTTGCATTTATTTACTTAAATGTTGACGCCAAAACATGTAGCTTGTGCGAAAAGGTGGACCCTAATATTCATTATAATAAAATACTGTATATAAAGAATATGGGTAGTTGACTTGATATGTCATATAGGACACTGATAAATGTTTGTTATTCTGCATCTGAAACTACTTTTCAAATAAAACTTGTGTCTAATTTTTTTATTATATTATATGTTATTACATTACATTATATTATTGCTTAGACAAGGAACATTTGTATTTTTATTTACCTTTACTGCAGGGCCATTTAAAATGGACTACTGGAAAAAAAATGTTAAATGGTGCTAAAATATACACATTCTCTCATACGGTTACATACATTTTAATCTAGAAGCTTGATATTAAATAAAAATGCAATAATAGTATTAAATTCTATTAGTCACCTAATCTCATACATACACATTATGCGTGTATTTGACATGAAATATTGTGGCGTGACATACTATACACCATCTTAAACTACTTTTGAAAAGCATTTAGCTTAATTTTAAATCATTAATATGCATGCAGGATTTATGACCTACTTGTATTAGAGAAACCACATGGAGAATTTGTACTTTTAAAAATAGCCTCATATAGTAAAACATCGTGTATATATAACGATGTAGTCTGGTTGCATATATGTGTGTGATTAATAAATAAGATATTAGAGAGTTTGAACTCCATGCATAGTCCGAGTTATTGATTAGTTGTAATGCATCATTTCTGAGACATGCAATAAACAAGATCAATACAGAAAAAGCAAATTAAGCAGATTACAGAAACAAATCAAGCCAACAACTAAAAATAAAGGTAAATACATTCTCACCTGTCAGCAGTTTTAGTTGGCTAATCTGGATTTAACTTCAATATGGCACAACACACGCGGAAACCCCTCAAATACCAACTACCGCGGATTAGAAGGGTAGTTTAAGTCGAAATATTAATAAATCGAGGTAATAAGGTACAAACCTCTGTATATATTCCTCGAAACTTTTGGAGATTGTTTGAACACGATGGGATTTTGTTGCAAGTTGGGTTGATAAACAAACGAGCGTCGCGCGCGCGTGACGTCATTGACACGCGACATCATGCTGGATGTGTCTTGTTGTACAGCACTGTAATCTTCACTTCACTACTTGTGTCGCTCTGAATAGAAATAGCAATAATTCGCAAGTGGTGTCTTTTTTTGTTTCTTACAAAAGGGGTTTATGAATCCCAGCCTTTGATTGGTAGCTGGTATAGATGATTGTTTTTCTCTATATGGACTGATATGGCCATTTTATCTTTAATAAAAATTAAACAGGACTTGAATGTCATGTTATATAAGCTTGAAACTGCATATGTGCTGCTGCTGGCATGACTTCGCTGGACTGAACCACTCAGAGTAAGTATTATGGGGATTTTCAGGGGAGGGGCTGTAAATAAATATTCAATATGCTTTTTTTCTTTACTTATATTAAAATTAAACTTGACAATTAGACAAGTTGTATTTGCATTGCACTTAACAGCTTTAAGGTTTAAATATGCTGATTATGCATCATTTTATTAATCATGCACACAAACAAATATGATACAGGAAATTTCACGTTTTAATGTGATTCATAGTTGGTAGCCTAATTGTCAAACTTTTTTCTCTCTCTCTTTTTTTGCCTGTTTGTTTGCATTTGCTAGACTATATAACCAAAATGTATCTTCAAGAAATCAGACAATGAATACTAACTGATGCTAATTAATACTTTGTTTAATTGCCATAAGATTTGTAAAATCAATTAATATTGCTTACTATTATTTTGTATGTTTTCTTCATATTTCATATTTCAGTCATATTAGTCATATTTCAGAAAAGCAAACTGTTAAGTCCTCACTGAATAATTGCAATGTCCGGTACACATTGTACAATTTTGGGCTGTGCCAGACGAAAGATGACCAATCATGGTGATTTCTGTGGTTGTGGCTCCTAAACGGTGGTCGTACATCGAGGTTCAAAGGCGGCCTTTGTCACGTTCTTGCAGCCAAAGATAGCTTTGGATAATTTTTCAGAAATTTAGCATAATCATGATAGTGTGTTTGCAGCTGTATGACCTACGTCTACAGACTAGCCAATCCAACATGAAATGGCGTTTTGATCAACGCAACATGGCGCTAAAACTTAAAACTACTTACTTTAAGCTCCATTTGCAACATTGGCGTGCCAAGTTGGCCTCTTTTCCCTAGAAATGACCGCGTCCATATTCTCCTCTTTCGCTTCCTCTTCTTTTTTTCATCGCACATAAAACCACAATTGCCTAAGTGTGGTGCATCTTGCTCTATTTGTTTACTAGTAGCGCATGCTAATGACGTTTTACTCTTCTATACTATTACTAACCTACGATTCAGTAGGTGTCATCATCGTACAGTCTACATACATATCATACCCAAGTTTATTAGATCCATGTTGTACAGTGTGATTTGTAATGATCTTATAGGATTGCCGAAATCGCACAGTCTGTAGCAGGCAAAATATTGAAATAACTTTTCTCTTTGTCATAAATTCTCTCATGATGACTTTTATAATCTTCCTTTGCAGATCTCATATTGGATACATGGAGAATGGCTGAACATCAGATCGAAGACCCAAAGATTGCATTTGCATATCTCCGCCCATCATGTGTCCTCCTGACCAAAGAACCAACATCCGCGAACGTAGAAGCTCTTAGCGGTCATCTGCGCGGTATAAGCGATGGAGCTCTCCAACAGCTCCAGGACTATGTACTGTTTCCCCTCAGATTTGTCCTCAAAACCCCTGGCTCCAAACGGGAGGGATTTATCCAGGTGGTCATGGAAACCATGACGTATGTGCTGGAGAACACATGCGTACAGCGTTGGGATTCTCTTCGGGATCTTTTCTCTGAGTTGTGCCTTTGTCTTTGTTCCCCAAAAGACCCGGGAAAGCCCGCCATTTCCTCCGAGGAACTAAAGCTGGCCGTCCTCAGATGCCTTGACACCCTCTTGCACTCGGCCTATGGTGACATTGTTTTTAAACTGTACGAGCCAAGCATGTTGCCCGGACTTGGAGCAGCCGTGTCGCTACTTCTGGCACTTGCAGAGCACGAAAAGGCAAGGGGAGTTCAATTGGCATCCCTTAAATGTCTCCTTTCTTTATTTCTACAATGCAACTGCAAGGAGGAACACATCGACCCAGGACAAAACGAGAGGTATCTTCTTGGACGTGCCCTCGCCACATTTTTGCCTGGCATTTCTCGAGCGCTGAGTGAGGTAATAAGCGGAGACATAAGACAAGGCCATGCCGTCACGATGAAGGCCATGAGGGTTTGGTACAAATCGGTAGGACTGGTAATGGCCAATGACCAGCTTCAGAAGACAGACATTGACAGGGCAGCTGGGGATCTGGGGAGGGTTGAGGAGCTGGTTGTAAAGAGGACTCCATCTTGGCGCAAAGCCACTTCCCAGCGCCTTGCCATAGTCTTACAAAAGATCATTTCTTGCACTTCTTCCCACCCGCACTGGAGAATCAGGCTTGAGTTGGTCAATCTATCCCATCTTCTCCTTTCTCAGTGCAGCCAGTCTGTGGGTGAATGTGTTGGTCCTCTACTGGAAGCATTGGTAGGTGCCATCAACGATGAGGAGCCTGAGGTTAAGAAAAGGTGCAATGCTGCATTGAATGAAGTGGCACAAAAAGGTCAAGCCAATGGCGGACAGGACTTTACAGATGTTCTATCTGAAAACCTCCACAGCTTGGCGTCATCCTTACCTCGACTCATGAGAACGTCGGATGACCAACGCAAGCTCTTTGTCCTTAACGTATTCCTTGGGTACCTCAAGATTCTGGGACCTAAAGTTAATGCAGTACTGAGGTCATCGGTCCATCTTGAGCGTATCTCCAAAGCATTGATGCAGGTGATGGAGCTTGACGTTACGGACGTTAAAATCATTGAGGAGAGAACTCTTAAGTCTTCAACAGACCTGGGACCTGATGTGCACCAAGTCCCATCCCAGAGGAAATATTTCCTCTACTTCACAGACGAAAGGATATTCTCAGCGCTCGGGAAGATCTGCCGCATGTTGGGATACTACGGAAACCTCTACCTTCTTGTTGACCGCTTCATGGAATTGTACAAGGAGTCCTCGGTTTACAGAAAGCAAGCTGCTTTGGTCCTCAATGAGGTAATTGTTGGTGCTGCAGGCATTGGCGTAGAGACGGACAACTCTAGGATTGATAGTTCAGGAATAAACCAGTCTAGAACAAATCAAGAAGACTTGAAATCTTCAATCATGTCTATCATCGAGGAGTACATCAGTTTGAGCAACTGGCATCTCCCTACAGTCTCGGAGGCCTTGGAAGGGAAACTTGAGACTACAACCTCCTTAGTGCCCAATTATCCAGAACGAAACTGTCTCCAACTGCTTCCCGCATCCAAAACCCCAACGCTCCACCAACTCAACAGCAACATCTGGCAAATCTGTATCCAGTTGGAGGGTATCGGAGGCTTCGCCCTGGCTTTAGGCACTGATTTCCGTCTGCTTCTCATGACATCCCTATACCCTGTGCTGGAGAAGGCCGGAGATGAGTCGCTTCTCGTCAGCCAAGCGGCTTTCAACGCAATGTGCGACCTCTGCAAGGCTTGCGATTACAGTTCTCCCAAGGAGCTGGTCATCAAGAATTCAGACTACCTACTCAATGACGTTTCTCTAAACCTCGCCAGACCCAGCATTCACCCTCATGCTCCGAGAGTTCTTGCGGTCATGTTCACTCACTCGGACGCCAGTCTGCTGCCTCTAGTGGCCGATGTGGTGCAGGACGTGTTAACGGCACTTGATCTCAGCTATGACCAGAGAACGCCACAGTTCTGTAGTGTGCTGCACTTACTCATGAAGGCACTTGGTGAGTCTTACTTAAATTTACTTACTTAACCCTCTGGTGCTCTTCGCGTGTTGGTCAAAAATGACCGATTTTTTATTTATTTTTTTGTCAAAGAAATTAATGTACAGTATTTTAGTTTGATGTTTTTTATTTAATGTTTTGTATTTTTAGGGGATTTTTTTATACTAAATTATATGTACACTGTATTTATAATCCATTTATTCATTTTTTGAGCATAGAATTTAATTTCCAACTTAAACTGTCGTAAATCTTGAATGCGTTAGAGCACAGATTTAAGTTTTATCTCTTTTCAAAAACGACACTTGGCAGATTATTTCTGAAGTGAAAAAAGTTTTAAAAAGTGAGCTTAAAAAAGTAACAGAATTTGACGTGTATTGTTATGAAAAATGCACAAAAATACTTTTTACATTTTTGACCGCGAGGAGCACAAGTGTGATTATTTTTTACAGTACCATTTAACCGTTTCAAATTATTTCCCTGATTTGTTTTTGTGTTCTCATAGCAAGTGCCAAAACCTTTACCAAGTTTCGTACCATTCCAATGATGTAAAACAAAAAAAAAACTTACATTTTTTTGGTCGAAAAATTACCGAAGAGCATCAGAGGGTTGGAACAATGCTACTATTACGTATTAGTTGCTAAATGTGCTTTTTGGAGTTTGAAAAAGCCTGTGTTTTACCACAGTGAGATGGTTCCCTGCTACTATGGGACACCAGAAGACATCCAGCAAAGAGACCCAGAGTAAAGAGTGTGTGAACTTGAGGCAGTTTCTCCTGGACTATAAGAAGCAGAAGGAGCTTGGTGAAGGCATTGGAGTAGAGGAGGAAGATCCTAATGAACTAGGTGTGTAATTTTGATTTATTTATGTTTGTTCTGCAGCCCTCTAACTTTAAGAATTAAACTTGAATGTAAATGATGTTACCTTTCTAAGCAATCATACTTACCTGGATAATAAAATTAGGACTTCAGCCAAATCCATCAGGGTTGTGGTCCATTCGAACCTGAATTGAGAATGTCTTAGAGAAATTTCTGTTTACTTGTATACTTCCCAATATTTAATTAGACTTTTTGGACCTTAATTTCCCAGGATGCGTTATCTGTGTTGACTTGCTTTGAAATGCAGTTCAGTCAATTTCTCTTCTTGTCATTCGAATTTGATTTCTACATCAACTTCTAGTGGGCTGTGGCTAATTCAATTCAAATTCACACTCTTAAACTAAAAAAGAGCAAATTCTTCAATTTGGCAGAATTGTGCAGACCCCTGATATCTAGAGACCAAAATATCATAGAAATGTATGAGTGAGCTCTTTACTTGGAACAGTAAGCTAAGTAATGCTAAAATGCTAAAGAATAGGGGTGTAACGATACCCTCATGTCACGATTCAGTACATATCATGATACTGAACTCACAATATGATATTATTGCGATACTCCAAGACATATGATAAAAGGCTCACAAAAACTGTACTGTTGATAAAATGCTAAATTTGGTGTTACATTGTGGGTGTAAATGAATAGGCTTGTACTTGATAACCCAATGCAGAGGACAATAGTGACACCAGAATAAACATATTAATGATTCTGAAGCTGAAAATACAGTATTATTTTAGACGAATACGCTTGCACTCTTTCACTGACTATGACTAGATATATTTAAAATAATGTAAGCCACTTTTACTGTTAACATGAGACATTTGGCATTATCAGGACCCAAAAATATTCCATTATAGTCAACATTATATATAGTAGTTTAATGTAGTACTAAAACTCTGTAAACTTTAATTTTTTCTCACAGTAATTTTTTTCATTTTGGATGAACTATACACAATACAGATTGACACTGTCCACGTTAAATTTTGTATAATATTTGTATTGCGATATATTGTTACACCCCTACCCAAAAACCAACCACATAGCAACGCCTTAGCAACCACCCAGAAGACGATGGTTAATATCACCTTGCAACATTCTGTTATAGTCATAACCCGCTTGTAATTTAATACTTGCACAGCAGATGACAGTATTGACCCAGTAAGACCTTACAGTATAAAAATAAGCGAACTGTTTCTTCATAACTGCAGATCTGAAACAGGGCTAGTCACTTCTCCTGGAACAAGCTATGGTAAGTGCTTTACACAAGGGTACAGATGTAATAATAGAGCAGAATTATGATCACTCAAGCTCAGTTTTTGGCTCATCTTTAATCCTCCTCATGCTGAGACTTTCAACTCTGGGCTCAGATTTCTGATCATTAAACCAACACCACACAGAGTCATATTCCCTGAATGATCTGTTATTATGGCTTCAGCTGTTATTTGCGTTTGCATGATGATATGTTCACAGGGGCCTGACTAGTCTAATGCACATTGAACTTTCCTAAGGCGACGGAAAATTACCAATTCGATTTTTTAATTTTAATTGTATCTCCTGTCCAGACGTTCCTCCACCAGCGAGTGTTTCCGATGAGGACGTGGAAGGTCCTGCTGAGAAAAAGGAGCTTCCTCTTCATATCCAGATTGCAAAAGACGTGATGGAGCGATGCATTCACTTGCTCTCCGACTCCAACCTGAGAACCCGACTCAAGGTTGTAAATCGCTTCTGTTCACGTATTATCCTGCTTTAAAAACACTTCCCTTTTGTTAAAATACTTGCATCGCTGCAGGCCTGTTTCCCTTGAGACGAGCACAAGACTAGTGAAATGTGCCTTTACAGGTGTTGGACATCCTGGAGCTGTGTGTGTGTGTTTTATGTGAGCGAGAGGATGAGCTTCTTCCCATGGTGCACCGGTGCTGGCCTGCTCTCCTCCAGCGCCTCACCAACGATGACCCTCTCGCTGTACCGCGAGCATTCAAGGTGAGATGATGTCCTTCTATCCACTGAGCTACAAAAAAATAAAGAAACTATGACCATGCTTTTTAAAATGGCGTTTTAAAAGGCCATGGAAAATAATGAAACCTTAAAAGTCATGTAGATTTCTATAGGATAAACACAATCTTGTAGTTTTTATGATCTGCAAATGCATAGGTCAAAACAAAATGATTAATTCCTCTGAAGTATTCATTAGTGAGTAGATCTGAAACTAAATGGGTGGGAAAACTGTAGTTGGATATTGTTGCATTGACTATTCTATTATCCATTTCCATTCATCAAAGAATCATAAAAAATGTATCAAGGTTTTCACAAAAATATTAAGCAGCTCAATATTTTTCAACATTGATAATAATACAGGTTTCATGAGCAGCAAGTGATCATATTAGAGTGATTTCTGAAGGATCATGTGACTCTGAAGACTGGAGTAATGATGCTGAAAATTCACAGGAATAAATGACATTTTACAATATATTCACATAGAAAACAGCGGAAGCGTATTGCATTCAATACGCACTCTCATAATTCTGAGATATTAACTCGTTAATTCAGAAAAACAGAGCAAAAACTTTTTTTCATGCAAAATTATCTCGTAATTCTGAGATAATTAACTCGTTAATTCAGAAAAACAGAGCAAAACTTTTTTTCATGAAAAATGATCTTGTAATTCTGAGATAATTAACTCGTTAATTCAGAAAAACAGAGCAAAAACTTTTTTTCATTATAATTTTTCTCGTAATTCTGAGATAATTAACTCGTTAATTCAGAAAAACAGAGCAAAAACTTTTTTTCATGAAAAATTATCTTGTAATTCTGAGATAATTAACTCGTTAATTCAGAAAAACAGAGCAAAAACTTTTTTTCATTATAATTTTTCTCGTAATTCTGAGATAATTAACTCGTTAATTCAGAAAAACAGAGCAAAAACTTTTTTTCATGAAAAATTATCTTGTAATTCTGAGATAATTAACTCGTTAATTCAGAAAAACAGAGTAGATTTTTTTTTCCTCAAGTGAATGCATTACGCTTCCGTAGAAAACAGCTATTTTCAATTGTAATAATATTTTACAATATGATCGAATATATGCAACCTCATAAGAAGACTTCTTTGAAAAGCATAAAAAAACATCCAAACCTTTGTATATGAACTGGAAGAGTATTCTAGATGCAGGAGATCATCAGTTGCATCTCTCTCTCAGGTGCTGTGTGTTCTTGGGCAGTCGTGTGGAGATTTCCTCAGGAGACGCGTGTCTAAAGAGGTTCTTCCCCGTCTCACCTCCTCTCTGATGAAGCAGGCGGAGATCAGCGCTCGCTCCGGGCCCGTATACACACACACACTGGCTTACAAGCTCCAGCTCGCTGTGCTGCAGGGTCTCGGACCTCTGTGTGTCCGACTGGACCTCAGTAAGTCTGGAGGACATCCGTGTCCCAAACGCCTGCTAGGAACTTTGCTGATATTGAATAATATTTATTTATTTATTTGATATGGACATAGCAATAACATTGGACGAACCAGATGCATTGTTTAAAGTGTTATAGCACATGTGCTAATTTTCAACACCTGTCCATAAGGGCTTTTACAACAAATAAAAACACATTGTTAAACAAGACAAGGCACATTTTACACATGAGAACAACTTTGGCCCGATTTAAGCCACTGTTTGAGCTCTCTCTGGTAATATTGTTCTGCAGTTTGAATCCAATTGGCAGAACAATACTTAATAATAAATAAATAACTATTCAGAACATCAATAAAACTGTATAAATATGATAAACATGGAGACTGTGACAGTATTGCAGGTCTGCCAGTTATTGTTTAATATGTGTAACAAAAAATGTAATCATGCTTAAACAAAAACATTTATTAACCTCCAATGCGAAGGTTTAAAGCTCAAATTCAGCGAATTGTTGCATTGTTTGTCCTACGTTAAAATACATTAGGTCAAATTAAAATGTGATGTACAAGTATATGGCTGTGCACAATTATAATTGTGATTTAATGGATGTGCAGCGTCAGCATCATAACAGATCACATAAATGTACGTTATTATAGTTTAAAATGCAACACTCAGTCCTAAAAAAACATTTAAAACCTATCATGTATATAATTTAGATATTAAGTTTATTAGGGCTGTCAAACAATTAATCATGATTAATCGCATCCAAAATAAAAGTTTGTGTTGACATAATATATGTGTGTGTACTGTGTATAATTATTTTTAATACATAAATACCCACACATGCATGTGTATTTAAGAAATATTTGCATGTATATACTGTATATAGACTGAATGTAGCCTATATATAATGTATATTTTATATAAATATAAACATTTTATATATAAATAACATATTTTTCTGAAATATATACGTGTGTGCCATTTATATACAAAATAATTATACACAGTACACACACATATATTATGTAAACACAAACTTTTATTTTGGATGCGATTAATCGCGATTAATCTTTTGACAGCTCTAAAAAATATATAAGATGGGAACTTACTTTAGCATTTAAAGTGGGCTTGATATTTAATTTTAATATTATTTTTCATTGCCTGCATGACCTTGGTTACATACAGAACCTCTAAGAGGTCTTGGCAGTGGGAAAAAACAATATGAGATTGGAAGGGGAACAAAATTATATCTCAAAGTTTTGATTTCCCCAGGTAACTTTACGTTATCTCACAAAACCAGTGATGAGAATGCTAAAACAAAAGTTAAGAAGGAAAAACTCTACTACAATGCTTTTGAGAGAGAACACACAATTTGTGCGCAAACTCAAAGTTACTCAACATTCCTTAATAAAGGGTTTTTCGCAGTGATGTAATACAACAACCATTTTGGGTTCCCGAACAGTTTTAACACTAGAACTGCCAAACTATATATCTTTAATGATAAATACCCAATTGGGAGAGATTAATGCATTTATTGTATTAGGATATCTTTTAAAAACAAAACGAAACCAAACTGTTCATTTAATTATAAATTTATAAATAATAATATCATTAGTAGCCTACCGTAATTATCGCATATTCACAACAGATATGCTATATTTCCATATCCATTCAACATAACTCAGAACAAGATAATAACAACTAAAAGTATCTTATTTAGATATTCTGTTGACAGTGAGAGAGACAAAGGTCAACCGCGGGAAATGTAACAAAAGAACACCGCGAAATTCAGTGCGGTCAATATGGCCGAAATAGGCAAATATGTTCATTTGGGGTTTTTTTTGTCTTATGTGGAAAGTCAGATACCAGCAGGATTTTTTTTTTTTTTTTAATTTAACAAAGTTATTGCAGATATGTTGCCTTTGGCTTGCTTAGTTGGGGATATTCAAATTAAATGACCCATCATACCACTGATCAGCTCTACCAAACTTGGATGTCTTTTCCAGTAATAAACAAACACTGTTCAGTTGTTTTGATTGATACTGTGAAGCAGCTTTGATAGAATCTGTATTGTGAAAAGCACTATATAAATATATTTGACTTGACTTGATATAAAATTCAAAACGGTCAATGCCGTTCTAGTGTTAAAAAGAACCTTTTAGTGAACAGTTCTAAAAAGAATGTATTTTCCACTGTAAAGAACCTTTTGTGGAATGTTGATGTTCCACTGATGTTGAAGGTTCTTTATGGAACTATAGATGCCAATATAGAACCTTTATTTTTAAACAGTGAGGGGAATGCATATTTTTTGTGAGCAACTTGTTATGTAATATTTATATATTTTTTTTCTATTAGCATGTCCCCTTAGGCTCTCTGTAGTTGCATCAGCAGAAAAGCTCAAAATATATTTTTAAAGGCAGCAAAAATGCATCTTAACTTATGATTATGAAACATGCACACAATAATATCATACATTTACGAGCACGCCGTAACCACTAGATGGCAAACTCGCGTCAGTGTTTCCTCCCAGCTGCAGTGAACATGTCAAAGTCAATCCCAGTGTACGGATGAAGTGTGTTCCTGTTGATGTCACATCACAGCTCCATCTGAAGCCCCAGAGCTTCCTGTGACAGACACCATCATGCCCCGCTCTGTTCATTCCTCCGGAGAAGCTCTTTCCTATCATCTCTGTGGGGTTTCTGATGTAATGCAGGGGCGAAATGGAAAAAGCTCACGTGTTGCATGCGTTCTGCTGCCGCATATGCCTTGATGCGTGTAAAAGTGCTCTTTGAAAAAGCAAATATCGACTATCAGTCTCAAGTTTAATTCGTGCATCTGTAATAGTGACGTATAAGGGATTTGCAAAGCCAATGGTTTGTGAAATGCTGAAGTGATTTGTCGTTTAATTGAGCTGCCATGTGGAGAGAAAAATATTTGTGCGATTGTGATTGTGCAGATTGGTGTGATTGAGTGTGTGTGTGTGTGTGTGGAGGGAATACTGAATACTGATAGAGTTACCATGGTTATGTGAGACACCTGAGAGACAGACAGAAAGACGAGAGGTCATGCTGTTTATTTCCCAGCTGGCTATAGTGCTGTCTCTCTCTCTCTCTCTCTCTCTCTCTCTCTCTCTCTCTCTCTCTCTCTCTCTCTCTCTCTCTCTCTCTCTCTCTCTCTCTCTCTCTCACTCACACACACTGTCTCTCTCACAGTCTCACTCTCTCTCCCTCCCTCTCTCTCTCACTCACACTCTCTCTCTCTCTCTCTCTCTCTCACTCACACACTCTCTCTCTCTCTCTCACTCTCTCTCTCCCTCTTTCTCTCTCTCTCTCTCTCTCTCTCTCTCTCTCTCTCTCTCTCTCTCTCTCACACACACATATATATTCCCTCTTTATTATTCTCCCTCCATCCTTCATTTCTCTGGTCTCGCCGTCCCTCTGCATTCACCTCCATTTTTCTAGAGTAATGAGGCTCTACATCACGCTGCTTAATTAATTAATTAGGATAATGCTGCCATGGAGACTATTAGAATATATTAGAACATCTGTGGCCATTATGACGCAGGCGTTCACTGCATTTCTGCTGCGAGTTTCGAGTCACCGGAGACATACATGAAGCTTTATTGACAATTAAAACAAATCTATAATAGTGTACATGGTGTCAAATAGATTTGAACTCTAACATGTCTTAAATTGTTTGCTGTTTCACTATTTAGTGTTTGTTACATTTTAATATTTATAGCTGATTTTCCTTCAGTTTTTCATTCCCTTGATATTTTCAGTCCTGTTGGAGTTTGAAGATAATCTTTCTTCTGAATGTGTGTTTGCAGTGGAGGCGGATCTGGATCGAGTGTGTGAGGCGTGTCTTCTGTACCTGAGCTGCCGACAGCCAATCAAACTGCAGGAGGCGTGTCTCAGGTAAAGCCCAACCCAGCGCTAAACTGGAATTGACCTTTTTTTTAAATGGTCTTCTTTATTTTTTTAATTTTCAGGAACTTACACAGACTAAAATCAAAACAATTTGATTATTAATATTGAATTAATATTTTATTAGCCAAAAAATCAATCTATTGAGTAATATTTGTTCATATTGAGATTAGACTAATATATCTGTCAGACTAATTCATTTGACTATTCTGAAATTATCCACATATGGGTGAAAAAAAAAAATATATATATATATGGCAAATATAGCTAAATTGATTAATCGGCCTGACAGATATGTTATAATATATAAAATATTGCAATTATAATTTCATATAATGTTATACACACACATTTTCAAACAAATAAATAATTTTGACTTAATTTGTTTTATATATAATTATGTATTATATATTTGAAAAATTATAAGTGAATTTAAACATATTTATAAATGTGAATTAAAGGTGAAATTTATATCAGTGAAATTCACTTATCTTGTACAAATTAAAAAAAAAAAATATTTAAGAAAAGAAATTTAAGAATAAAATATATATATAATTTGTTTTTGTGTTTTGGAAAATTCACTAATTTTACACTTTATATATATATATATATATATATATATATATATATATATATATATATATATATATATATATATATATATATATCTACAGGCATGTTCCCAAAAAAAAATTTAATATATATGTATAGTATTATTATTTATTTTTGGAACACGCCTTTAGATTTCGGTATTGACAGTCCAAAAACAAGGTTACACTTATGTCTAGATATTCATTTACAAATTGGGCGTTAAAGAGAGAGTTCACCCAAAGTTCTGTAATCTTTTACTGTTTTTCTAAACCTGTATGAATAATTGATGTTTAAGAATGTTGTTAACAAGACAGTTTCCAACATTTCCAAGGGCCCATCAACTCTCTGGTTACCAACATTGTTCAAAATCTCTTTTGTGTTCAACAGAATGAAACTCATACAGGTTTAGAACAACGTAAATGACGACAGAATTGTCATTTTTGGGTGAACTATCTCTTTAAGCTGAAACTTACACACTCCCATACCCTGCTTTAACAGTATGAATTACCCTAATAGTTGTCTTATGATGTTTCTGTCCGCAGTGTGTTCCGGTCCCTGATGGATCTGGACGCTGATATGTGCTGGTTCACTCTGAACGAGCTGTTCTGTCCTGTAACGTACGAGCCGCCTCATCCACAGCTTCTCCCCGTGACACTGAGTGGATCCGACAAGCCCAGAGACCAATTCACCGACAACGTCCTGAAATTACTGCAGGAGTTTGATTCCCTGCAGGCGGACAGATGAGACTCCCGAGGTCTAGATGACAATAACAGGGATGCTTATGTCTGAATGCTAGAATCAGTCTAGTATTCTGATCTTCATTCACTACACGTATGAATGGAAGACGTTTTGGACATACTGTTAAAAGTTGACTTTGTCACAATGCAGATTGACATATATACAATAAAACAAACTGATTGAGAAAAAAAACATGTATTCCTTACATTCCTCTGCCAAATCACCATAATTATTATAGTTATTTCTCTTGAATAATGGTTATTTTATTTCATTATTACATTATTTGGTAACACTTTACAATAATGTTCATTAGTTAATGTATTAATGAACTAACAATGAGCATTTGTTACAGTATTTATTCATCTTTGTTAATGTTAGTTAATAAAAATACAGCATTGTTAGTTCACAGTGCATTACCTAATGTTAACAAATACAACCTTTGATTTATTTTAATAACGTATTAGTAAATGTTGAAATGAATAACTAAGATTGGTTACACTTTATTTTAAGGTGTCATTGTTACAGTGTAATTATATATTTAAGTACTGAGTGATATTAAGTACCGGTAACTACATGTACTTGCTATAGGGTTAGGGTAGGATTAGGATTTGGTTGAGGGTTAGTTGCATGTAATTATGCATAATTTACTGTTATTACTATGGTAAGACATGTAACAAGGACACTGTGAAATAAAGTGTTACCCTAAGATTAATAAATGCTGAAGAAGTATTGTTCATTCTTAGTTCATGTTAGCTGACTAATGAAGCTTATTGTAAAGTGTTGCCCATGTTCACACACAGGTTCTGGTGTAGTTGTGACCTGTTGGTTGGGTCTCGTGTGGTCGCGGGTTCTTCAGTGACAGTCTAATAAATGTGTGGCCTGTGTGAGTCGCATTAAAGCTGCCTCATATGCTTTGTGTTCGCCTGCTGTAGTGTTATCTGTACTGTACTTTGCTATTTATCCTCCTGCCAGGCCTGACAGAGCGCTATTATTCACCGGGCCCGGGCGCCGGGGTGACCGGCTGACATGCCTCATTCGCGGCTAATGCAATTTCCTCCCGGCCGCTTCTGATAAGTGCCGGAGCATCATTATAGAGTCAAACCGCTTGACATGAGCTTTGTTTAAAGGATTCGCCGCCGTTAAAGACGACAAAGTAAATTGAAGAGATGAAGAAATGAAGAATCGAGGTGATTTTTGAGGTTAAGTAGTTGGAAAAGCTCTTTGTTAGAATGAAAGTTAAAAAGGTTTTTTGGGTAATTTTAATCATTATCTAGCCTACAATTTAACACTTTTTATAATAAAGGCCCAATGCCAGCCAAAGTTTCTTGAGTAGTTTACTTTAAGTCCCCTTGGCCTGTTGTAAATAATTGTATCCCTTAAAACTCATCTTTGATCACCAAAATTATATATTTAAAAGTTTTTTCCTTGAAAAAAATTCTTCATGCCTTAAAATAGCTTGTAACTCGACACCCTTGACTCATTTAGTATACGTGGTTCTATGAATATGCAAATATAGTCTTTGGTTCCCTGCAGTTTTAAGGAAAAAAATACTCCGCAATGGTGTTGCATGAATTTACACATGGTTTGTCTTAAAGCATATTAAAACACCACATAAACAACATTAAAAGCTGGATTTTCACCACAGAGGGAGTCTAAGCAATTAAACCACCATGTCGCCCTTTAACATCAAGAACGATAACCTAAACGATAATGTTATGGTTATTCAAAGCGCACTTCACTTCAGTCGTTCTCGCTGAGTGCTTTAAAAACTAACGGATATTGATGGACTGTCCACGTTTTATCTTTCAACAGTTTGGGGAAATTAATGTACCCGAAAATTATTCCAATGCTATCCTTGCTCTGTTGTTATCGTTATAGTTGGGGTGTTTTCAAATTATTCTCGTCTTATAGGGCAGGTGAAGCAGAGGCAGAGCCCCACCAAATTTTCATCCAAAACATAAACCTCTATATAAACTTAATCAATAATAAATAAAAACAAATATTTTCCGATTCTCTAGACTATTTTAAGTCTTAAAGTGAACAGGATAATTTACCGATACTGAGGGTCAGCGGGTGGCCAAGTCCTCCTCAGCTCTACAGCGCCCCACAGTTTTCCCATGTAAATCTGTGGTGAAAAATGGAACTGCAGTGAGCTATAGAGAGCCATAGACCTTATTCAGAGCAGCGCCATGGCAGATATGAAAGTGAGGCTGTGTCTGTGATGGACTTACCATGTTTAAAAAGCTTTATAAAGCTCCTAGATCGTTTATGATTTTCCACAGCTCATGATGTCTTAAGTTTTTTGTCTAATAAAATTTCTTGGAAAGATATTTTTGCAGTGTTTCGTCACCACTTGTATTAAGGCGACGTTAGCCTCCTCTATTGCATTCCGTGTCGTGTATGAATCTGTCATCAACACGAGCGCAACCCTCAGCCTGAATTACGCAACCTCTGTCAAAAGTGTGTGCGTGTGTTCAGCTATTACAATAGGCTAAAATGTTAATCAGAAACTAGCGCTAAGAACCAGAATCTCCCCTACCTAAATTTACGGCCAGGAGCCGCTACTGGTAAGCTTAAGCTACTTGGTGTGAAAGTAGGCTACTTTTAATGTGGATGTAGCCTACTTGAAAAGTGAATTAAATAAGCAACCACAACGTGAGCCTAAATATAATTTTGCACACTGCGACCATGCCGATCTCGAAACAAAACAAACATTTGGCTTACCATTGGAAGCAGACGCGGAGTTTGCGGGGGGGCAGGGGGAGCATTGCCCCCCCCCCCCCCCCCCCCCCCCCCTGGTTGCTGAAACCCGTTTATTTAATTTTTTTGCATTGTTAAAAAATATATATATATTATAAATATTTTAAATAACACAAAACAACTAAATGGTGGTAGGTAATACACATCTGATTTTATATACTGCTTTAGTAAAAAAAAAAAAACTGCAATGGAAACAGGTTTTGCGCATTTACAGTCAGCTGACTTAGAGAAGACACGGGGATAATAATAATAATTATCATCATTATTATAACATTTATTAGGCTACATATGTAGAAGACGCTTATCAAAAAAAAAGGAACAAAGCAATTCGTCACATATCATTCATAATACAGGGCTAAGATGATCACAAGTAGGCTAAACAAGATTTTGACGCATATCCAAGTGTGTGTGCGGAATGTGGAGCGCGCACTGGATGGCACGGAGGCGCGGGGCGCGGGCGCCAACACTTGCATTTTCCTATCAACAGTGGAAACAACTTAAAATAGGCTAGCCTACTCTATCATTTCTGGTCATACAGAAAATAATAATACATTATTCGCAACTACTTTTATTTGTGTACACTCACAATAACAAGAAAAGGTTGTGCTTTTGTAAAATAAAATACAACAATCAGGCGCGCTTCATGGTCTCCGTGAACTGAAGCGCTATAACTGAAACAAAATAGCCTAAGCTAAAGCTTGAAATGTCCACTTTAAAACGAACAAATTCGATTCGAAAGCTAATACCTTCTGATTATGTAATCCGTATGAGAGGTGCATTTCTCTCTAAAGGTGCATCCGCCTTACAGCGGAGATGGAGATATGTTTTAGCCGACACTAATTTTTTATTAATAAAAAATTAAAATGCCTTGTTATTTTTTCAGACACATTTATTAATTATTATAGCCTATAACTCAACTAAATCCCCTTTCTGTAGCCTGTGGTTATCTTCTCATTCAGCACTACGGGAAAAATATAATTTCCAGGTTCTAATTTGGCCTTAGAAAACCAGTTAAATCTACATTTTTTTCATATTAATTTGTCAATATTTTAAATGTTTAATAAAGGGGCAATAAGTCATAAACAAAAATCTGAAAATTCGTCCATATTATTTATTTTGCGCAGCATTTGCTGTGTAGCAGTTCAAATTAAAATTTTGGTGTTCGACTTTGCGTTTTAAAAATACAACCGTTTATTTTTCGTTTTGCAATTACGGGTTAAATAAGGAAAAACGAATGGACACAAAAGTACACTGACCGTTTGGACATAATACGAGACAGAGTTCTTTATTAAATTCATAAAAGAAACAATAATTACAGGAATACTGGATTCTAAACCTCAAAGAAATGCCACAATCAAGACCTCGGAGCAGAAATGAGGGAGAAACAGCCAGGAACTCTTAGGCTATAGGCTATGTGCCGTTCGCAGTATAAGGGTCTACCATTAATGCTTGGATAACACCACGTCTCCTTCCATTAATAATAATAATTTCTAGTGCGGTGGCTGTGATATAGCCTAGGCTTTAAACCTACCAACATCCGTTTACCATGATTTTTGGAATGACTTATCACGAGAGGAAAAAAATAAATTTTAGTCGCATAACATCGGTGAATGGAAACGCCGTCATTTCGCAATAGTTTTTTATCGACATTTAGAAAAAGTCGCAAAAGTTTTGCGCAAATCTGTAATGGAAACGCGCCTAATGATTACTACATGAATGAATGAATGCTACAATGATTTTTTTTTTTTTTTTTTTGCCCCCCCTGGCTCGAATGTCAAACTCCGCCTATGATTGGAAGATATAGCTTTCCAAATACTGTTTCGAAACTCCCGAGAAACAACTCTTTCCGCTCTCCTTCTGGAACTTGTCATAAACAAATATCTAAAAACTTTTAACATTTGTTACAAAAATGTGCGTACTACAAAAAATCAAGCGTGAAATCAGAAAAAGACGTGTTTTGTTTTTACCAAAATGCTTATTTCCAGGTTGACCAATCACTGTCTCTTATTAGTCAAATAGTTGAGCTCAGATTGCGTGCCAAATGCTCCCTTTGACTAGCCTAGAAATCTAGACGCACCCTAGCGGCAGCGAAAATTATTTCTAACATCTTGATGTAGGTCTGGCATGACAGGCAACCATTTGACCGTTAAAGGGGCGGTTACTAAACTATATTCAACGGACGAGATATGACGTTATGCTCTGTGGCGCCTTTTTAAAAATATTTCAAAATGTCTGGCTGAACTGAGGGTGAATAGCTTAGTACTTAACACTATTTTAAAAAAAAAAATGTAAACAAGAAAAATCATGTATTAATAGGACACAAACATTTATGATCAATGTACAATGTTTTTATTTATTTGATAAAGGCATACATTGAAGGTGAAACCAGTCTTTTGTAGGATTATTGTAATATACACAATCTGTACATGTATTACTTCCAGAAACAAACAAAAAAACAATTGAATCAAACCATAAAAAGCAAAGAAACCAGAAACGAAGCCGTCATTAATACCATTGAACATACTGTGTGTGTTTTCAAGATCTTTTAAAGCTGCATAAAAACCACAAAACATTGTAATATTGTGTGTGCACCATCCTTCTATTGACAGAAAAGCTTTATGAAACATATTTGCAAAAGCTGGCACCTATTAAATCGCACTTGTGCCAACGGTGATGCCAGTCCAGAAAACCCCTCAGACTGGTGCCCGTAACATTACACATGTAAACAATGATAGTAATATTACAGCATGTAAATGTCATCGTTTAGACCTGATGAAGAATATTTCAAACATTCACGTTTGTTCTGCTGCTTCTAGCCGTCTACTGTCTACATCGTATCAAAACCATGAATCTGATCAAACTAAGAATGACCAAAGAGTTTAAATCAACTGTCCAATTTGGTTTCTTGCTCATTGGCAAATATTATTAGAAACGTTTGTCACATGCACTCGCTGTGGTGAACAGATATCTACCTTCGCTTTTATACAGATTTATACATCAGTTGTTATAGGGATAGTTCACTCGAAAATGAAAATTCAGTTTTTATTTATTCTCTCAACCCTCGTGTTCAAACCTGCTTGACTCACTTTCTACCATAAAACACAAAATACATTTATTTTGCAGAATGTCTAAGCTGATCCTTGAAAGTAGACACTGACCAGGGGCTAATAAAATAAAATAAAGGACAAATACTTAACTATACTAAACTAAAACAAAGCTCTAAAAAGCGTGTGGGTCAGATTTACTAACAGCTTGCTCCAGAGCAAACAATCATTTGGCGTTAAAAAACTAGTCAGTTTTTACAATTTTTTTTTTTTTAAAGCGCTGAAAAGGCATGGACAGGGTTATTTTTGCGGCTATATATGCTTATCGCATATGCATTTGTAGGAGTTTTCCTTTCAGACACAAAATCTATGCAATGAGAGTATTTAAATGAATCACACAAGGTGATTTACTAAGGTTTGCGTTAGTCAACTTTACTGGTGCTTGTGCCATTATTTACCGCCCAAAAACAGCATGTCTTAAACCAGACGCTAATATGTGCTGTTCTTGGTAGATTGCGTTGGTCATTATGGAAATGATCCGGCTCTGTCTGTGTTCATTACTTTGCTCGTCCTCAGTAAATCAAGCGCTGAACCACCAAAGCGTTTTTTACGCGCGGCTGGCGTATTTTTTCAATTGTTTTCAATGGGAGCGCCGTATTTTTAAAACGCCATGAGCGTAACGATGCGCTGAGCGTCTTTTTCACATTGAAGCGCTCAGCGTTTTTTAAAGGTCGCCGAGAGTTGAAGAATGTTCAACTTTGGGTAAAACGCAGCGCTCATCACTGTCACTTTTTACCCAGCCGTCCAATCACAGTGGAGGAGGGGCGGGGCTAATACCACACTGACCAACTGTCACAACATTCTTTCTGTACAACGACATCCACCAGCAGAGCTAACCGAACAAAATGGATGAAAAATGTATTTATAGTATGAAACAAATTATCTGTGAAATCAGTTACAAGTAAACTGTGCTGCGGATATTCTGTATCATAGCAACGAAACGTCTCAACGGAAAACACGCTGCGCTGCCAAAACGTTCTCAAGCGCCCACAGCTAGGCGTTTCCAGCAGAGCGTCTAGCATTTTCAGCTGGCTAAAAACGCTTTGGCCTTTAGCCTCGTGCACACCGGGACGATTATCGCGCGCGCTTTTCGCCAGCGTTTTGCGAAGCTTTTGTTGTGTTCATACCCAAGCGATTTTCACTGGCGATGCACCGAGTGAACATGCAAATTTACCCCCTGAACGTAGATGGTGCTTATTGAAAAACAGATATACCCCAGTACACAAGGTGGCGCTGCGCAACTTTACGCTCCTAACACTCGCTTGTCACACAGAAGAAGAGAGCCAGTATTTACCATAGACAGTATAAGAAGTGGACAGAGCCATCTCATTGGAACTCAGTTGAAGCCCATTTTAAGCGATTTCTGAGCACTTCCGTTCCTGACGCGCAGACTCAAACCGACTCAAACTAAGCTTGATGACGTGAGCAACCTGTCTGACAGACGTGAATCTTCTAGTAGCTGTGCGTAAAAAATAGCCAACGTTAATCTTGCAGAGACGGGGAACTTGAGCAAAGAGTTCTTTGGCGTGAGTGAGCAGGAGTAAGTATTCCGTTGCTTTTATGGACTCATTATCTATGGGCTTCTCCCTTGACGGGACGTCCCCCCGATTGCCTGCGAGCTTCTCCTCCTGTCTGTACGGTCATTTCTGTACAGCGCGACAGAGAGTCGAGTGGTTATGACGCAATCGTTAGCCTATTTTTACTAAATCTGTTTCTACGGGGCCATAATGTAACATAGAAGGTAATGGAGCCCTTTATACATTGTCGTGTTTCTTTAGAAATAAATAATGGACAAATGGAGTCTTTAAACGCCTCAGATGTAAAGTTATTCACTGTCAAAGTGACGCCAAAATGACTGGGAGTATGATTTTTGTAGTCGATGTGGCGTTTGTCAAAGTTCTTTGTGTTCAGACACCGAAGAGACCACCAGCTCTACATTCATCTTGCCTCGTTGCATCTTCTTCTTCGTCTACTCACTTCCTCTTTGTTGTCTTCCTTCTATCAACGACCGTTTTGTGCTTGAGCGCCACCAAGTACTGTAACTTCAGCAGCTCCAGGCACGTAAAACAAAAGCGGCAATCTCATTGGTCAGCCAGTTTTTAATGCAGCGCGTTAAAACAAAAAATCTAAACAAACAAACTAACCCGAGGCGCTTTTTTTTTTAATTACGCTTTTACACCTGGCGTTTTGCGCGTTGGTGGCGCGTTGGCGCACCCTTTGTTTAGTCACGAGGCGTTAAACGTACTAAAAACTACCTAAAATGACAGAAAACATCTTTTATTTGAAGTGTAATTTGATTGTTTAGTTTGCCTCACGTCCATTGCCTCGTCAATTACGTTACATGGTTTACAACCTATACTGAAATCAACCACCAGGGGGCGATCGAGGCGCTTTGGCTTCACTTTTCAGGTTTGGAAAGACATGAGGGAGAGAAAATTTGAGAATTTTAAATTTTTGGATGAACTATCCTAACTTCAGGGGTCGGTGTAAGGAATGATGTGGGTGTACGGGTGCTCGGGATGGGTAATAAGTAAAGATAAGAGGAACCTAAAGTGCACAGCTCTCCGTGCAGTCAATGGTACTATCATCAGCGGACCTCTTCCTCAGCTCTCGGCCGGGTTTGTGGTGAGCGTGGTGCTTGTGGTGCTCAGACTGCAGAACGTCCTCTTGTGACGTCGCCCCCTGGTGGGACGGAGGATCCGCGCGCTCCACCTGCAGGTACGCCCGCACGCGATGGTGACGTAGCTTGCTGTCGCTGAAGTCGATGACGCGGCATTCGTACGTGCCCTCGTCTGACGGCTTCACGTTGGACAGTCGGAGCTTGTGGGAGATGTTGCTTCCGGCGACCTTCACCACCTGCGGAGAAACGGACAGGAGAACTGCTCAGAGGTTTGAAAATGATCGGTCAGGGTATTAAATCATGAATCAGCCTCGAAAATGCTGATTTAAAACAGACCCCGACTGATTTGGGCTGAAGCAGAGATGACTAGTAGGTCAAAACATGCATCGTATTTTAGAGAAGAGAAGCTTTTTGAGAACATTTAAGGAGAGACACTACTGGCAAAACCATTGTTTTCAAGATTTTAGGCCATTTAGCTTTCAAATAGTGGAAAGAAAACATCTAAAATACACATTTAAAGGGACAGTTCACCCAAAAATTAAACTTTTGTCATTTACTCACTGTCAAGTTGTTCCAAACCTGTATGATTTTTTTTTCTTCTGAACACAAAAGAAGATATTTTGAAGAATGTCGTTAATCAAACAGATGATGGACCCCATTGACTTTCATATATATATATATATATATATATTATATTATATTGCCCATATTATTCAAAATATCTTTTTTTGTGTTCAGAAGAAGAAAGAAATTCATAATCTGTTGAACTCAAGGGTGAGTAAATTATGACAAAATGTTCATGAACCATCCCTTTAAGTGTTTATTTACACTTTATCTATTAGAGTCTCTAGATTTCAATTACAATACATATATTTAAAGGGTTAAAAAAGAAAATCTGCACTTCAGCAGCACTTACTCACACCACACTTTACAGATTTATTCCTATCTATATTCTGAAGGCTTTTACTGAGGGGATTGCCGTTCGCTTTATCAAATTTTAACATTTCTGTTCTGCAAATGTTGCATTTTAATCATATAAAGCCTAATTTGCATATTTGAACATTTCAGAGAGAACTTGCAATACAATACAACTGTCTTAATGTACTGTGATTTATGAATTGGGAAGTATGGTGATGCTAAATGATTAAATGCCTTAAATGTAATAAAGCATGTGAACTCACGGATCTAATAAACCTCTGCATTTGTTAATGAAATGGTTGTTTTTATGTTTCCTTTTTGTCATGTCTTGCAGGCAGATATTGTCTCCTGAACATCAGAGCTCCAGTGTGGATCATCATTAAACTACAGTAGATGTAATGTGAGGCAGCAGTAATGCAGCGAGACAGTAGCCAAGTTTCCATCCACTTGTCAATCGAATTATCTGAAGTTCGGTAAAAAAACCTCATGCGAATAAAGCTGGTGAAAGTGTTGGTCCTACGGCTTTAAAGCGAATAAAAACCTGTGCGTAATGACGTCACCTGCTGTTTTGCGATCAAATTGGTATATCGAATTGATTTGAGACATTTTAAGGTGCTTCCATTCATTTTCGCACTGAATCGCACAACATTCAAGCAAACATTTGCGAACAAAGTTTTGCTAGACAAAATGGGTCGCACCATCTACAAACAAATGATCAATATTGCACAAGTTGTAGCCTAATAGTGCTTGTGTGCCAGCTGATAGCGACATATGTGAGGGATAATGTATAGCGAGGCGGTTGTTAGCCTGAAGGGGTTGTATTCGCTATAACAACCGCCTCGCTCTACATTATCCCGCTTATTACATGGCTACCTACCTACCAAATAAATCAATAATTTGACACAAAATATTGATTTAAAAAGGAGTTTATTGATTTTAAAACGATTGTTTTGCTTCCGCTAAAGAAAATAGTCCATTCCGTCTCTGAACTGCGTCCATGGCAACGCTCTGTTTTTCATGGCAACGGTGTGTTATGCTTAGCAACGTCTGTTATCAAGAAATAACAGACCGCATTCTACATCAAGCCATGTAATAACAAGCTATAATATGAAAACAACGACGCTATCAACACATTGCTATGATGATGCAGATGCACGTAAATGTCCGACGACAGCGGAGGCGCCTGTGGTGTGGGAACGACAGCGCTCCATCAGTTCTGGGAGATCGCGGTTCAGAGACACCTCATGGAAACCCTTTGGTTGAAGCATTTTTTTGCTTTGTCCACTTACATCTGTGTTTGTTGACACCCGCCATGTGTGCGCAAACAGAGCGGAAATACTGGACGGAAATGAACTAAAACTTCTTCTTCTATATTTTGTGGCGTGTTGCAACCATAAAATGACCTAAAACTTAATCGCAATTCATTATTTATTCGGCAAATAACGTTTCCATCAGCGTTTCCCTTACGAAAATTAACCATGGTTTTTATGTAGTAACCATGGTTTTTATGTAGTAACCATGGTTAAACTATGTTTTTTTGTAGTAAAACCATAGTAACTACAAAATAAACCATAGTTTAACTATGGTTTTTACAGTAAAACCATAGTAACTACAAACGAACCATGGTTTTACTACAATAACCTTGGTTTAACCATGGTTTTGATACCGCACCAAAATACCACGGTTACTACAGTCATAGTTAACTAGTTTTATTGTAGTAAAACCATGGTTAATTTTCGTAAGGGATTATCGCATAAGCCGTATATCGATCAAGATAAAATCCGATGAGACCGAACGTATTTCATTTGAGTCGATATTCATGAAATTCAATCAATTTTACTGTTTCCATAAGGCATTTTTCATTCGATATCACTTAATTCGGATAAAAACGTGTGCATGGAAACGTAGCTAGTGGCTCCGTCCCAAATACACACTCCATATAGTGGACACCTGTGCGGCATCATGTCACTGAAGTGTGGACTCCAGGGTCTGAGAAATGCAACGTGATGAGCAGCAGTGAGAGACAGTGACACGCAGCTCTCCATCCATGTATTTTTTGTGCGCAAATTTTGGTAGGCTATATTGAATAAAAATTAAATGGAAACAGCAAAATCCAAATCAAATTTCTAACGTGCTTTAAAAAATGATTTTATTTATAAGTAATTTATTAATTTATTATTCGTTTTCTTGAACTCATTGCATAGAAAAATACTCTTTATTCACAAATCGTTTTGCGACAATTTTTTCTTTAAACACAAAAACAATCAATAACTGGGCTTTCTTCCACATATTTCTATGCATATTTTGGGATATTGCATAAAAAATGCTGGATGGGGAATGCAACTAAAATAGCCAAATGCAACTGCAAATGTTCATAAATATTATATTCAAAAATAAATACGAAAAATGTAAAGATTAAAAATAAATTATGAAAAATAAATCCCAAAAAAGTATTCAAAATATCTTAATTTGTAATTCTAAATGGGAAATGCAAATAAAATATCCAAAATGTAGCCTAAATGCTAACAAATGTTTTATTGGAAAATAAATTATGAAAACTTAAAATCTTAAAATAAATTATGAAAAAATAAATCCTAAACAAATATTTGAGTATCTTTATTTATTTATTTATTTGTAGTTAATTATTTGCAAACTGTTTTGTTATAATTAATTATATTAAAATGCTGGATGGGAAATGCAAATAAAATACCCAAAATTTAAATGTAAATATTAATACATATTTTATTCAAAAATAAATTATGAAAAATGTAAAGATTAAAATAAATTATTAAAAAATAAATCCCAAAAAATATTCAAATATTTTTATTTGTAATGCTGGATGGGAAATGCAAATAAAATACCCAAAATTGAATGTTAATAAATATTTTATTGAAAAAAAAATTATGAAAAATATAAAGATTAAAATAAATTATGAAAAAATAAATCCTAAAAAAATATTCGAATATCTTAATTTGTAATGCTGGATGGGAAATGCAAATAAAATACCCAAAATGTAAATGTAAATGTATATTTTATTTATAGTTAATTATTTGCAAACTGTTTTACAATATTCTGTTTATATATAAATTAAATTAGCAAATTGGATACTATTGATTGCAGTAAAGGGCCAGTGTGATGCAGCAGTGAGATTCAGAGAGAGTGAAATGCATCAGTGCAACCTTACAACGACGGAGCATCTCGGCTTCCCTGCAACTCCAGCAATTTCACCATCTAGCAATGATAATCCCATCAAGTTCGGTCAGAGATCCTGGGTAATGTTTGATGACCAGCTGACCTTCAGAGACACACACTGCAGGTTTGCACCGCACAAGGCCCATGAAACACAACCCCTGGTCATCTCTAGGCTGATGCTCTTCTACACTACACATGATGATCCAGAACGCTGCAGCACGACTGCTCTTCAATGAGCCCAGGAGAGCTCACGTCACACTTCTGTTTATCTCTGTGCACTGGCTTCTGGGTGAAGTTCATGAGATTGAAGCTTGCAGAACGGCACCGGCTCTACACACTCCTCATGAATCTACATGCCCTCCAGAAGCCAGCGGCGCTGAGAGGTACAACATCTCCAGAATGTTTCCCTTCAGTTTCTTGCTAGTGAATATATTATCATTATTATCATCTGGATAACTTTATTCTAGAGCTGCTGTAAAGCAAAAACAATCTCTGTTACTTTAATTTCCTATTCAGGGATGCAAACTAGCCTGGGTTTCCCCATACTACCTTTGCGCAGCGCGATTTTATTCATACCATGTCTGAACTGACATTATATGCATTATATGACTGACAGACAAGAACGGTTTGACCTAAAAATATCAAAATTGAAACTACTGCGGAAACAAAGACACCTACATCTTGGATGCCCTTGAGCCTGAGGTAAGCTAAACCATACCAAAACTTCCATATCGCTATATACTTCCATATAAGTCCATATCGCCCATCCCTACTGGTGAAATGATCTTCCCAACAGGTGAAAACACAAATAACTGCATCTTTCTAAAAAAAAAAAACATTCTTCCCAATGTTTTGACCATTTCTTAATCTCTCCCTGGTCTAGCTTCTAAACGATGTCTGAAACTTTGTATTACCAGCACTCCTCATGTTTATTGCCTCTTTATGATAAATTGCCCAGTTGTAAGTCGCTTAGGATAAAAGCGTCTGCTAAATGAATAAATGGGTTAATTCCTAGCGGAAGTGAATGCAGTGGGAGAGTGAAATGCATCAGTGAGATTCAGATGTGGAACCGCAGCGACGGATGAGAGACATCCACTCAACATCTCTCTCTCTCTCTCTCTCTGAAACACACAGACAACAGGACAATCTCTGTGTAAAGCGGTCAGCGTTCCCAGCGGGTCCAGGCGCTCAATAGAGCGTCTGCCAGTGAAACAGATTGAGTGTGGATCAGGTGGATAAATAAACATACATTCACAAACCCACATGCACACACTCAAACACACTTACATCAACTCGTTTCCACAGCGTAACATATGTCGAGGATGGTAACAAACAAACACTCTAGCTATCAGCAACTCTGGGATCAGAAATAAGATCACAGCTAAATCTACATGAGTTGAAACAACGGTATGGAGAAGGTCATGGTGTATTGCAGTGAACGTCAGCGACTGGGCGGTGTGTTTGCAGGGACTCTCCAGTCTCAGATCAACAGCTCTGCATTCAGTGGAAGCAAAAGTCCTTGTGAATATTTTATGGGGTAGCAGAGAGAGATGCTTTGATTTAGTCACACACACACACACACACACACACACACACACACACACACACACACACACACACACACACACACACACACACACACACTCTCTCTCTCTCTATTACACACTCACACATAACACACACACACACTCTCTCTCTCTATTACACACTCACACATAACACACACACACACACACACTCTCTCTCTATTACACACTCACACATAACACACACACACACACACACACTCTCTCTATTACACACTCACACATAACACACACACACTCTCTCTCTCTATTACACACTCACACATAACACACACACACACACTCTCTCTCTCTATTACACACTCACACATAACACACACACACACACACTCTCTCTCTCTATTACACACTCACACATAACACACACACACACACACACACACACACACACTCTCTCTCTCTATTACACACTCACACATAACACACACACACACACACTCTCTCTCTCTATTACACACTCACACATAACACACACACACACACACACACACACACACTCTCTCTCTCTATTACACACTCACACATAACACACACACACACACACTCTCTCTCTCTATTACACACTCACACATAACACACACACACACACACTCTATTACACACAGACACACTCTCTATTACACACTCACACACACACACACACACGCACTCACACAATCACACGCACACACCCTCTCTCTATTACACACCACTGAGGCCACGATCACTCTAGAGCTCCCTGCATAGGAAACAAACCGGTTTCCTCCTTGGTGCGTTGGAGCAGGAGGAGTATGGCGGCTTTGTAACCAGAGGTGTAGTGGTAAAAAAAGAGCTGGGTAAACTATAAATTCTGGTGGACCACGACGTGGTCACCCGGTAAGGTGGGCCACTGCCTACCGGTGTATGTGTATCTCCTGATGACATTGCTATATAGGGAGGGCTCGACATTAAGCCTTTTCATACGCTTAATCTGTCATCCACTTGTCCGAGAAAAAGTTTCTCGTCCGGATTTTTTTTATTTTTTATTTTTTTACTCTGAAACAATATTCTCATCAGTGTTCAATCAGCTTTGATATTTAAATCGGCATATTGTAATATCTGCACCTTTAAAGGGCATCCCCTCCCCCAATCTTATTAGGCTATGCTTCATCTTTCTTTTTAAATTCCTAAATTTGATCAATAAATTCAATTATTTCGAATAATAAGACACTATAGGGCTGATCAAATTAAATCATTTACACTGAAAAATTCCAATTGCATAAAATAATGTTATGAAATTGATTTAAATTTACAAATAAGAAACGTTGGAAAGAATGATCTACTTTTAAACATAACACTAAACCACCAGTAGGTGGCGGCAGGCGACCGTCTTAATGAGTGAGTCACTGATTCATTCAAACGATTTGTTCAAACGGCTGATTCATTCAAGAATGAGACAGATGTTTATGAATGGGTCATTGAATCTTTGACTCAATCGATTCGTTCAAAATGCTGAATCATTCAGTAATGAAAACAGGTTGAGTGTTCCTGTGAGATGCGCCGTGGTTCTGCTGTGATTTTTGTTTGGAACTAATTTCGCTGCTGAAACAGAACAAAAACAGCCAATATTGCATCTAAAATGTAAGTGACTTAATTTTAACTGTTTATTGAACTGTTGTAGGAAATCAATGTCACATTTTCAATCGTGATGGTGTTCAGGAAAAATAATTGAGGTTGCTTAACATATGTTAAAAATAAAAACTCCACATTTAGATTTTTTATAGGCAGTATGTTGTTAACTGAGTGTGTGTGTGCGCTCATTTGAGTAGATTTCTCCTCGAGAGGCTGCGCGAGCGTCAACAGCGCAACCGTCAGTAAAAGTCAACACAGACAGTAATGCAGCGCAATATGAAAGAGTTCGTCTTAGGTTTAACCTATGAAACTAATAATGAACAATATGAAACTAAAACGACATAAGCTTAATTTATAGCAATTTAGAGGTGGATAAACGCAATTTAGAGGTGGGTAAACGCACTTTGGAGGTGGGTAAACGCTATTTCCGAATATTGGGAGGTGCGTTAACGGCGTTTACGTGCGTTTAGCCTCCACTACCATCCCTGTTTGTAACCTTGTATTAGGGGATGCGGCAAGCTGTTCCTTTCCGCACACACTCGTCGGGTTTCCAACCTAGTTTTGGGCTTCACCCCTGGGTCCCAGGTGATTCTATCTTTGTGGTGCTCGCCTGATTTTACACAAGAAAGGCACTGGTAACAATGGTGGGGTTGGTATAGACCTTATGCACCAGAGAAACAAGGGCGCCTCCATCTTTAGAATATTGTCTTTGAACTTCCGTTTTTGTGGTCGCTCTGTATATCTCTATGGCATCGCTGTCCAGGAGTAATTAGCTTTTGAAGTGGATTTACTTAATGTAAAGTTAACGAAAGTTATCATGAGGATTGTAATGTTTAACGCAGATGTCTTAACAAATGTCAGTAGACCAGGAAGATTTTAAAACGAGCCGTTCATTCATAACTAGGCAAGATTGCTGTGAAAATACAGACCGGAAGACAAAAGACAACGAGCGCAGCGCTGAAAAGGGGCGGGGCTACATCAGGTCTATAGACGTTCCCACATCTTGACGCAACGCGAGTTCCCTTGAAAGGGAACGCCTTGGTTACGACTGTAGCCTCGGTTCCCTGAAGAGGAACTCCTGCCATACTTCTGGCGTGCCTGTGATCGACTTGCTTCGACCTATCAGACCCTGACAATGTTTGGTCTGGGTGCGCTTCATAGCTTCCTGCCATGACGTCACCCGCCTATAGGCCATTGGGCTGATTTCACAAGTGCTTCACGACGCAATCATGCAGAGCGTTCCCACAGCGTCAATCTCGACGCAACGTCTCGTTCCCTCTTCAGGGAACCGAGGTTACAGACGTAACCGAGGCGTACTCAATATGAACTGCTTATATGCAATATCAAACTGGCAGTCATGCAGTGAGTCTGGATGACAACAGCACAGTTGTGATGACCTACAGCACAATCACAGCTGAGAGTGAGGAGTGTGTGTGTGTGTTATCGTTTAACTGTTGTTTTGCCTCACACACTCCACCTCTGAAACACAAACCCCAGCTGCTTTATCTCAGTCTGTGTTTGTGAGCGTCTCTCTAAGCCTGCATTGCTTTAACGTGAGAAGGCTTCTGCGTCACATAATAGAGTTCAAGAAGTGCAGCACGCACATCCAAAGTAATAAAACTGGGTGCTGGACGGACAGATATTTGCAAAAGTAAACAATGAGTCCGCACACCAGAAGATGCTCCTAAGCGAGTTTAATAGTTGCTCACCTCGTGTAACGTTTCGGGCCCAAGCCCTTCATCAGACATAAACAAGTGGAGAGACACACCTCCTTATATACAGCCATACATGGTCACATGATCACATACATCCATGATAGAACCAATCAAGTGAAAGCACAATTACATCAGACAAACAGATAAAAGTATGTAAGAAGTATATACCAACATTTATAATACAAGAAAATCTATTAAGTATATACCAACATTTATAATACAAAAAAATCTATTAAATATATTTGGTAGCTAAAAAAAAGGCCTAAAGTGCTTAAGGCACAGCCTAAAAAAATATTTATTGAAAAAGTATCTCTACCACTGTGAACAATCATGATAGATGAGCCAGAATGTAAATACATAAAGAATACCACAATGGTGTGTTACATATATCAAATCAGCAAAACGATCGCACAACATTTACAAAATTTGTTGAAAATTCTTTTTCATTGACATAAGTTATTTACAGGAATGGCCTCAGGTCAAAGTCTTCATTCAACCCTTTTGGAGCTAAAGTGTCCAGGGTATAAATCCAGAATGCTTCTCTTTTAAGTAACAGACGATTTACGTCTCCTCCACGGGAGGGCTGTTTCACAAGTTCAATGCCACAATATCTGAGAGAAGAAACGTTATGAGAGGCTTGTGAAAAGTGCACCGCTACTGGGCTTTTGGTGTCATGATTACGAATGTTTGATCTGTGTTCTGAGATCCTTATTTTCAATGACCTGGTCGTTTTACCAACATAGGCCAAGCCGCACGGGCATTTAAGTAAAAAAAAATAATAATTGTGTTACAAGTAATCACACCTTTGACATCATAAAGTTTTCCAGTGCATGGGTGATTAAAGGTGGTGGTTTTATGTGAAAGTTGCATTGAGTGCAGTTGCCACATCTGTAATTCCCAAAGGGAATAGACTGCAAAAAATGTGGCTTCTGCATCACACACACACACACACACACACACACACAAACACACCCTGCAGCGGCTCAACCAGCAAGAGCCGAGCAAGTTTCAAACAAATCACCTTTAGCCCAAGCAAGTGTGATGTTGTGTTTGCATGCTCCAGTTATTTGCCCTCCTGACACACACACACACAATGTACTTATAGATGACAACAGCTGAGAACGAACACAAAAGAGACGTTCATGAAGGAAATAAAGAGGAAATTACAAACTTACACTGATTTTGGTGGCATCCTTTGACATCTCATTCTGTGGCACCACCTGCAACCAGACACATCGTAGTCATACATCAACATTATGATTTACAGTATCTCACAAAAGTGAGTACACCCCTCACATTTCAGCAAACATTTTACTATATCTCCTCAAGGGACAATACAATAGAAATGAAACTTGGATATATTTTAGAGTAGTCAATGTGCTGCTTGTATAGCAGTATATATACTGTTCTCTTTAAATAACTCAATGTACAGCCATTATTGTCAAAATAGCTGGCAACAAAAGTGAGTACACCCTAAGTGAACATGTCAAAACTGTGTCCAAAGTGGCAATATTTTGTGTGAGCACCAGTGTTATCTAGCACTGCCTTAATCGCTGTGTAATTCACCGGAGCAGCACAGGTTGTTGCTGGGATCCTCTTCCACTCCTCCATACTGACATCACGGAGCTGCTGGATGTTAGACACGTGGCGCTTCACCTTCCGCTTAAGGGACGCCCCACAGCTGCTCAATAGGGTTCAGGTCTGGAGACACACTTGGCCACTCCATCACCTTCACCTTCAGCTTCCTCAGCAAGGCACTTGTCATCTTGGCGGTGTATTTGGGGTCGTTATCATGCCGTTCGACCCAGTTTCTGAAGGGAGGACATCATGTTGGAATCCATGTTTCCCTCAATGAAGCGCAGCTCCCCAGTACCAGCAGCCTCAGACCATGATGCTACCACTAGGGATGGGAATTGATAAGAATTTAACGATTCCGATTCCATTATCGATATTGCTTATCGATTTGATTCCTTATCGATTCTCTTATCGATTCTCATTGGGTGAGGGAATAAGTACAGGGGTGCAGACTGATCTCATGAAATGGCGTATGTATGACACGACAATTCGTATTTCCATTTTTGGCATGCTATCAACACGCATAATCGCTTTTCAGCATGTTTATCAACGCCGTTGACTTAACGTTACATTACTGTATATATAAATATATGACCTACCCCAACCCCGTCCCTTAACCTACCCGTCACTGGGGTTAATACCATTTATGAGTCTTCCCCTACCATCCTAGGAAAAAAAATATCGCTCCCCCGTTTCGCTCGGACATTTAACGATTACGATTATCATGTCATCGATTCAGTTCAATTCGATATCTCGATGCATTACGATGCACTGCATCCTCAATTTTCACTTTTACTTCAAAAGTGATGTGTGTATGCGCGCGTGTGTGTGCGTGTTCGCCTGTTCGGGAAGTCACAGTGACATTCCAGTTTAAGTTTCATGGGACTAAAGTCTTTTTATGCCATTAAGAAAATTTAATTCTGTCAAATCAATTTTGTTTTAAAGAACTGTTCATTTAAAAGCAGCGCTCATTCTTCAGTGTATAATGTTAACCTAGAGATGCGCGCATCAACCGTCGCCGAGTCCGCCGTTGAAGGTGACTATCATCCATTTATAATCACGCGTAACAACACAGAATAATTGTAATTTGACCATCGGGTGCGGATACTTAAATCAGAGAACATTATTAGGGCGGTGGATGATTTGTTTTTGGCTGTGGATTCGGGTGACGTTTCTCATTGAGTATTTGCGCGAGTTTGTGTGTGTGTGTGTGTGTGTGCTCGCGTCTCATATGAGTATGTGCCTGGAGAATTCCGCGCATCTAGTGTAGAGTTTGCGTGTGTGTGCGTGAGCGACTTTAGGTGTGTCGTTGTGCATTGCATATGTATTTGTTTGAGCATTCAGCAGTATACATGTATGTTTGACTACTTAGTATATGTGTATGCAAGTGTTTTATATGTGTGCGTGAATGAAGTTTGATATAAGCCCTAGACGGCGCCTCATACATTGTCGTCTTTTCGCGTGAAATATAACCAAACTGTAGAGCGCTTCTGCCTCGATGCCATGTTTGCTGCGTTCTGAACTAAAACAACGCAGCGCGTGTGTGACGTCATGACACATTTGCAACGAGCGGAACCGATAAGCGGGATCGTTAAGCAGGCATGTTAACGGTTCCAAGGAATTGGTTCACTGGGATCTGAAGAAGAACCGGTTCTCGGTTCCCATCCCTAGCTACCACCACCATGCTTGACTGTAGGCAAGACACAGTGTTCTTGGTACTCCTCACCAGGGCGTCGCAACACACATGCTGGACACCATCTGAGCCAAACAAGTTCATCTTAGTCTCATCAGACCACAGGACATGGTTCCAGTAATTCATGCTCTTGGACTGTGTGCGGGCTTTCTTGTGAGCCAGCTTCAGAAGAGGCTTCCTTCTGGGACGACGGCCGTGCAAACCGATTGGTTGCAGTGTGCGGCGGCCTATGGTCTGAGCACTGACAAGCTGACCTTCCGCTTCTGCAACCTCTAAAGCAACGCTGGCACGATCATGCGTCTGTTTTTTGAAGCCAGCGTCTGCACCTAACGCACAGCACGAGGACTCAACTTTGATTGACCCTTGCGAGGCCTGTTACGAGTGGAACCCGTCTTGGAAACCCTCTGTATGACCCAGGCCTGTACTGCAACCCAGTTTCAGGGTGTTACCAATCTTCTTATAGCCTAGGTCAACTTTGTGGAGAGCAACAATTCTAACTCTAAAATCCTTAGAGAGTCCTTTGCCATGAGGTGCCATGTTGAACATCCAGTGGTCAGTATGAGAGAATTATACTCAAAGCACAAATTGTAACTGCTCTAATACAAGATACAAACATTTGTATGGACCTGTCAAGCAGACAAAAACATGAACATGATGAATAGGACATGTGGCTTTGCATGTTAAACGACATACAGCTATTATCACTTTTGTTGCCAGCTATTTTGACAATAATGGCTGTATGTTGAGTTATTTAAAGAGAACAGTATATATCCTGCTATACAAGCAGCACATTGACTACTCTAAAATATATCCAAGTTTCATTTCTATAGTATTGTCCCTTGAGGAGATATAGTAAAATGTTTGCTGAAATGTAGATACTGTAGCTGTGTGATAATACATTTCGCAACATTTTAAATAATCACGCAGCCAAGATTTGCACACAGGTAAAGTAGGGTGTAGCCTACAAGATATCCAACTTTTAATATACTGGGTGATAATATAATGTGCAATTTTCGATGATGAAACAGTCAAGCAGTTGAAATATGCAATATAGTACTTGCGCTACAATATTTGTGTGTTTAATGCAGTGAAACAAACCGTGCAGCAGGACATTTGAACAGCACACAAACATATAGAGTGCTGGAATCTGAACTGATCCTCAAGAGCCCTTCATGAATAAAACATGACGCAAAGGTGAGCAAGAGTTTCTCCATGTCCCTCTTTTCATCCCTCCATCCAATTAAAGTGCATCTTGAGCTCACAGCAGGAAGTCCTGCAATCTCTCTCTCTCTCTCTCTCTCTCTCTCTCTCTCTCTCTCTCTCTCTCTCTCTCTCTCTCCCTCTCCCTCTCTCTCTCTCTCTCTCTCTCTCTCTCTCTCTCTCTCTCTCTCTCTCTCTCTCTCTCGGGAACCTGCAGTTATTTCCACCGTTGTGATTAATGTAGTGTGGCCTGTTACCTGCCGCAGACTCTCGAGTCCATCAATACCACTGTATCCTCTCCTGTTCTCACTTCATATTTATGTTTCTTCAACTTTGGCCACTTTATGTCCCAGCGGTTTTATTAAAACAAACAGATTTCAATGTGTTTTTGTTATATGACGGCCTTGAAAACATTTAACTAGGCCTTTATTATTAATTCTTTGCTGCTTTTGCATGTTTAGATTTTTATTGTTTTGTCTTGGTCTTTCAATCTTTCACTATGAAATTTCACAATAAAATATGGGAAACACTTTACAATAAGGTCCCGTTAATTAACATTAGTAAGTGCATTAACTAATATTAACTACCAATTTGTTACAGTATCTATTAATCTTTGTTAATGTTAGGTAATAAAAATATATGTTAGCTCACACCATTAAATAATATTAATAGATATACAACTATTGATTTTAATTATGCATGTTGAAATTAACTGAGATTATAAAATGCTTTAGAAGTATTTTTCATTGTTAGTTCATGTTAACTATTGAATTAACATATGTTAACAAACAACCTTATTCTAAGGTGTCACCAAAATGTGAATTGGTTTTTAAAGTGAGCATAAAACATTTCAATATTTATAGTGTAAAATGATTTATATCAATATAGCACAAATCACAGCTGCCCTTCAGTATTGTTTCCGCAATACTACACAAACAAACACAAACACTAGATCTATTCGATTGATTTCAAATGTCTTTTTGTCAAGTGTTTTCTTGTAAATTGTGTTTGTGCATCTTTCTTTGCAACAAATGACACTTGCTTTGATGTTTTGCTACACTCTTAGAAATAAAGCTTCTTTATTGGCATCGACGGTTCCATAAAGAACCTTTAACATCAGTGGAATCTTTCCATTCCACAAAAGGTTCTTTATTGTGGAAAAAGGTTCTTTAGATTTTTTAGAATGTTCTTCACTACAGACGTATTGAATTTCTCAGGTTTGATCTGTCTGTATTCATGCAGGTGATGCTGTGCAGCTGAAGCCTTTGACTGGCAGCTGGTTATTAAACTGGTGGTGTGTGTGTGTGTGTGTCAGACAGGATGCCGAACCCTCTCTCTCTCTCTCTCTCTCTCTCTCTCAGACTCTTAAAACAGGACTCAGTGTTTGAGTGGCACGAGTGGCCAGAGAAAGAGGAAAGCGGGCTCCTAATTGCAGAAGGTGACAGCAGGCCCGCTGAGGATCATATTGTTCTGAGTATTGTTAGTAATAGTTAGCCGCTCTCTGTGCTGTAATTGTGGGCAGATCTGTGTGGAGGTTAAGGGCCGCCGCTGACAGAACGCTGGGATTATGATCTTAGTAACTCTTTGGTTTCTGGATCAGATTTAATCCCCAAAACACATTGGCATTGAATCCTCAACCTTACAGCTGACGGCTCACATTATATACCAGTGTTAAAGGTCTCAAGGTGATGATACACAGGGCAACTTTTTGAGCAATGTTGCTGGGCAATCTTGCCGAGCGATTGTTGCTTGGGCACTTTCCCATTGAAAATGGGCAATACATTTCTATCTGGATAATTTAGATCGGTCGTGGGCGCAGTTCAACGAGTCTTTGTTTCCCGAAACCATCGTTCTAATGAACATTCGCAAACAGCATCGCAGAGTTGTGTGTTTGTAACGACAGATGTGGTTAGAAGTTTCTAGTTTGCATGACATGTGGACTCAATAAATCCTTATCTTGAGCCAAATAAGCAATCTGACATTCAGTACAATCTTTATCTTTTATTTAGAATACATACAAATGTCATTTACGTCTTTGAGTGTGTCAAGAGATTTAAAGCACCGTTTTTGAAGACTGCGCATGTGTGAACGTGCTCTAGTACACAAGAAAGAGACTATATTGAATCTGGAAATAAAGCAAAAAACTGAGAAAAATTAGAAATAGTCCTCAGATACCATGTCCGTAATTTATATCAAAACATCTAGCGTTAATTCGATCTCAAACAGATTCATTGAAATGAGTTATTACTCCACCACTTCCGTGACATCATTAACCAACACGGTTGAAAGACCACTTTGCGACGATATGGTTTCGGGAAACAGTCGTGACGAGCCAGCTGATTTCTTCAACGATGCATCGTACTATAGTAGTGAAGGAGTCGTTGTACGGGAAACACACCCCAGGGTAGTTGCTAGGGTGTTCTGGGTGGTTGCTAAGTGGTTTCTTCTTATCTGGTGTGAAAAGAGTACCTGGTCTCTAGATTTGGTTCGGGTTTCTCCCTCATTGTTTTTTTTTTTCACGTTTTCAGGTCCAATTAATAATAATTCACGCCATACCTGATTGGTGGTCCACGTCTGCTTGTCCGTCCATTCTCTGTGGTTCCTGATGTACCACCACTGGATCTCCAGCGAATAGGACGGTGACCCCGCGCCTCGAAACGAGCAGGCCATCTCCACGTCCTGACCGCTCTGTGCCGAGATGTCATGAGGGACCTCTGTGAACACCGCTGAGGAAGAAGACAAGAGAGGCTATTTAAAGGAGACCTATTATGCCTCTTTTAACTAGATGTAATATAGAGTTAAACCAAAAAATTATCAGACACCAGATATCATTTTTAATGTTTTTTTTTTTTACTAGTGGGTGCAGGACACTATGTGAGGATAGTAAAATAAAGTAAACTGTGACATATTATACCCAAAAATTCTTCATCCAGTGACTACCAGTAACATTTATACAAATTTGGGACCAATAATTATTCAGACACTTTGACCTGAACATGTTTTGCTGAAGTGTTTTTGCTTTAATTGCTAATGCTCTTTTTACACACAGACTGAACAACATGAAGCATTGCTTGGTAATTGTTTGAGCTAAACTGGTATTATCTAATTGTGTAGTTAAATTTAACAGCTGACAGATATTCAACATAATTAATGTGTGAGAGTCTAACAGAAGGACGGACAAAACCAGTGAAATATCAACTGATCTGATAACTCATATTATTAACATCTTCTAAACTATAGCAAATAAACTGTGATAATGTAAGAAATGTTGAACGTGTCTGAATACATTTTGGGTTTGACTGCAAGTCTCAGGTGTCCGCATAAATGTGTCTGTGAATTTTCAGCTCAAAATACCCCATAGATCATTGATTATACCATGTTGTAAATGCATCTTTGAGTGGTAGGAAAGACACGCTGTTTTCGTGCATGTATCTTTAAATGCAAATGAGCTGATGCCCCGCCCCCTTTCCAGACGAGGGCGGAGCCTGTACAGCTCGCGCCTCAGATGCTCTGGCAAAAACTAAAACATCTGTTTGGTTTCTATTATCATCTCTATCGTGGTCATGCTCACGAGACATTGCAGTTCTTCATCATCATGAAAGTTTATTATCTGCATGTGTTTTAAAGCCATATCTGTCTAAACTGGCACTTATATATGGTTTTCTTAAGCACGCGCACAGAGAGCTGCATGTCAGACCTTTTGAAAAACTGTTTACAAAGTGCTTTACAGAAGAGAAATGCAAAGAAAAACATTGTGTAATCAATTTATAGAAGTAAAATAAAACAAAATACAACAATAAAATAAATCAAGGAAAGGATCAAGTGAACAAATGTGTTTTAAGATACTAAAACACAAAACTAAATAAAAAACAGAAATGTTGTCTTGGCAATTCAAGTATAAATGTTTTTTTTTAAATGGGTTTAGTTTTAGTTTTAGTTTTAGTTTTAGTTAATGCACTGCATCAAGCCTGGCAAAAAAAAAAATTTGACCAGTCATATTTGCAACTGAACACGAGCGTGAATACATTTTGAGAAATTAGAAAAGCTTTCATGTGACCTGAAATATGATGCACAAGACTTCATTTGTGTCATTTCTGGAGCTCAGTTCGTTCAATTCCCGTTTATTTTGATTGTATTCAAAAAGAACAGCATGAACATTCTGCAAAACATCTCCTTTTATTCCCTTTAACGTCTGAACATCATCTGTACTATTCTACAAGTGAACCTCTTTAACGACTCAAGGCACGAAGCCTGAACGTCTCGTATTTGTGTAGAGACCGATGTCGATTGAACAACTCAATCTTCCCTCTTCTCGCTTTTTTTCAAGATACCATTATCATCTCAGATAACATTTTGGAAAATGTCCAATACCTGAACGGCCAACATCAGATCCGGAGATATCAGTGAACGTTCAAGAGGCTTTATCGCAAGAAAACAAGCATCTAGCTACTGGATAAAGTTGTTCTCAGAAGCTGAAACACTCAAGTGCAGCGTTTCCCTTGACTGACCTCGCGAGTGAAACAAGCTCATCCGCGACTTCAGACAAACACAATTCAATTATCCTTCACGTCAAAGCCTTGAAGATATGAGTCCCCCTCCACCGAACACCAAACACCGGCCGAAGCGCAGAAGAGACGCCGTCAGAACGAACGAGCGCAAATCAGTGTGGAGGAATCATTTCTCTCTTATCAATCCTTACAGGCCCTGCAGGAAGTGATGCGCACACTTCAAAGAGAACCCGCTCACACCTGACGGTCCACAGGAAGTCACGAATCCCTGGAAGACATTACAGATACAAGGCGCTTTCGCAGCTAAATTGAATTAGATTGCTGGAGAAATAACTGCGATATTAAAGAGATCTGAGATCATGGTGGCAACACAAAGACATGTACATTACCATGATGCATTAAATTAATCAAAAGTGACATCAAAAGACATTTATAATGTTACAAAAGATTCTATTTCAAATAAATGCTGTTCTTTTAGAACTTTCTCTTCATTAAAGAATCCTAGAAAAGAAAATGTATCACAGTTTCCACTAAAATATGAAGCAGCAGCACAACTGTTTTCAACATTGATAATAATCAGAAATGTTTCTTGAGCAGCAAATCAGCATATTAGAATAGTTTCTGAAGGATCATGTGACACTGAAGACTGGAGTAATGATGCTGAAATGATCACAAGAATCAATTACATTTTACTATATATTCACAGAAAACCATTTGATTGGAATTCTAATAATATTTCACAATATTACTGTTCTTCTTTTCTGTATTTTTGATCAAATAAATGCAGCCTTGGTGAGCAGAAAAAAAATTCTAGGTCCAAAAACATGACTCCAAACTTTTGAATGGTAGCAAGCAAGCACGTGCACACAGCACACATAGCCATCAAAAGGGGCTTGAGCACCTGTCCTGCCCTTTTTATTCCTGGAGAGAAAGTGCCCTTTTTTCCAATATTATGAGTCTCGCGTTCTCAGACCCCTCGTTTTTCGAGACAGCGCAACCTTATCCAAATGCCATTGAAAACAATAGGAATATTACGGTCTCGTTTTATTTAAAGTTATCCAAATAAATATTTGCGTTCCCTGCTTAATGCATGTGCCAAAAAAACTCATTGTGTTCTGTTCTCTGACTAATTACCCAGTTATTTTTTGAGTGTGGGTGTAGGCCTAATTGAAAGAAAATTACTGATGGAAGGGATACAATTACAGATTGAACTATCTTCTGAAAAAATATTATGTGATATTATATTGCTACAATCAATGTTTTTTTTTAAAATTACAATTACAATTTTTCTTTCAGTTCAACCTATAATGGTCTAATTAACATTATACCATTCTAACATTACAAAACCTGTTTTTTGATATTTTGAATGCGAAGCAAAACTCAAATAAGAATAGACAAAACACCAATAGTAAACAATTCAGTAGGCTACTTTATTTAACGATCACATAAACATCATCTTGGTGTAAAGAAAAAAGGAAGAATTGTGTTATTGACTTTACTTTTCGTCTTCAATTGCATAAAAAAAAACCTCCTCATTTAAAGTCGCTTTGGATAATCATAAAATGATAATGTTGCTGGGTTCGGCAGGGGCGACCGCATCAATATGGTGTACCCTGGAATACAACAGCATACAATTGCAAAAGCAAAAAAAAAAAAAAAAAAAATTTGTTTGCAAATGTTACCTTCATGTTGCACTAAGATGTTTTTGAACTTTGGACAACTTTGTGGGTTTGAAATATATGGGGGCACAGAATGGGCAGTGAAAATCACTGCAGCATTTATGACATTTCTGGATTTCTGAAAGTGAATTGTTATATCCATCTTTTAAAAAAAAGAGAGAGTCAAACTCAAATTCCAATTTTAAGACCAGCCTACAGAGCCCATACAGTCAAATTACAGTCAATAAAGGCTAATGTTAGCTATCAAAATATTTTCGGGGAAAAAAGGCGAAAAACATACATTAACGGCTCAAATTTTGTTACAAACTACCTTTACAAATATTAAATGGACTATTCATATGTTGGTGTACTGATGAGCTATAAAGTAGTTTGATTAAAAAATAAATCAAATGAGTATGATTCGCTAAAATAAAATTGACGATACTCACGTTTAGGCTTAAGTTCTTCACATGTTTATCTGATCCAATTTGATAGGAGGCGCTGTCTCGAAAAACGAGGGGTCTGAGAATGCGGGACTCTGGGTGGGGGACTGTAGCTGCACTCCTTTTTTCTGGGGTGCTTTTTTAAATTTATTTTTAAATAGTATATATTCCTGTTTGCGCACAGCTTCCCTGTCAAACAAATATATTTATTGAATATTGTATCCAGGAGTTCTGAAGCGCCGATCAGAGTAAACTGGTCTGCTCTAGTGAGCTCGCGCTGCCGTTTGGACTTTGAGCCGAGCGGATAAACAGTCCGTGAGGCGCGCGCGGTTCAAATGAGTTTCGTTACGCTTTTGGCGCATACACATTATCGAACATTTATCCAACTTGATATTGATATCGAGTATTGACGATATTGACTCGAACTTGATATCGTTTTATCGAGAAAAATTATATCGCGATAATGAATGAATGAGCATATCAATTTAAGACGTGGCTAAATGTAATTTATGACCTTGTATGGAAAATCCAGACGTTTTTATGACTTTTTATGGCCTAAAATTCTTATTATTAAAGTTAAAGGATTAGTTCACTTTTAAAAAAACTTTTCCTGATAATTTACTCTCCCCCATGTCATCCAAGATGTCCATGTCTTTCTTTCTTCAGTCGAAAAGAAATTAAGGTTTTTGATGAAAACATTCCAGGATTTTTCTCCATATAATGGACTTCAATGGTAGCCAAACGGTTCAAGGTTCAAAAGACAGTTTCAGTGCAAACTGCAAACTGTTCAAATGGTTTTAAATGACACCAGACGATGAATAAGGGTCTTATCAAGCGAAACGATCGCTCATGTAAAAAAAAGAAAATAACAACGTTTAAGTTTTATAAGCTCACATGCTCGCCTTTCTCTGTTCTGTGTGACTCTCCTGTTCGAACTCGTTCATCAAAATGAACAAATCTTTTTCCGAGTCAATTCGTTCATTTCGGTCGTTAAATGAATCAAATGACTCGAAAAAAGATTTGTTCATTTTGATGAACGAGTTCGAACAGGAGAGTCACACAGAACAGAGAAAGGCGAGCATGTGAGCTTATAAAACTTAAACGTTGTTATTTTCTT